TTAGAATTTTCCAAACAATGAGGGACATTTTTTTGTGGAAATTGTACCTGCCTGGAATGCTCTTACTGTTTATTTTTTGGTTATTTTCTCTTTTGAATCTATAGGTACCTAAACAGAAAAAAATAATATTGCGAAGGCAAAGAATATAAATCTGAATGGACTAGCTACATTTTGTTTCCAATGACAATAAGAGACTTTAAGAGTACCATACAAGCATCTACTGTAGTACAGTGGAGAGAAATAGTATTAAACTATAAATTCACATTCACATAAGTCTGTTTTTTAGAAAAAAAATCTTTCCTACAGTGTTGTGAGGATACTTTAAGACCCCGAACATATACACTGTATATATACCTGCCAATATCTATCTGAGACAGGTATCTAAGTCAACTTTGAAGATATCAAATTCAAACAAACTGCTTGTACATAAGAACAGAAGAAATGTTAAAATCCAGAGGGGGTCACATCTAATTCATTTTGTTGCTTTAATTCACTAAGCCAAGGGTCCTATTCTGCTGATTTTGACAGAACCCAATTCAATGTAGCTTTTTCCAGATTTCCACATTCCACTTGCTATAATTTTCACTGCTTGTGTAGAGTTTGATCTTTTCATGTTTAAGTCTTCTGATGTGATTTTGATACACTGAGAAATCTTTATTTAGCTGACAAAGGATCCTCTGAAGTGCGGAATTTCTAAGCGATGGACATCAGAATTCAAATTCTGTGTTATTGTCTGAATATATGTTAGTGCTATGTATGTCCTTTTATATTCTGATAGGGTATGTCAAGTATGTCCTTTTACGAATGCAACATTTATGTTAACACAGAAAGATTGTGCTATTTATAAGCATAAAGTCACAGAGAAATGGCCTGTGCTTTAGAACAGAGGAATGAGAGAACAATGGTCCCTCTCTGCGTTGCTCTCCAGAGGCCATTCCTTAATAAACCTATTCAAAACCACATTGAACTGTGCTGTGACTTCTTCTATATATATACTTGCATAGTTTTGATTGCTTATGCATATCAAACCAATTCACTTGCGGGCCACCATGAAACTTCTGGAAACCTTTTTCTAACAGACAAAGTAATAATTTTATTTATACCTTTGATGTGCTATGTGGGGAATTCCTTTAAAATAGCAAGGCAAAAGAGCTGCATGGGTGGCATTGAGGCACAGTGGTGAGAATTGCTGCTTTGCAGTGCTGGGTCCTTGGGTTCAATTCTGGACCTGGGATGCTGTCTCTGTGGAGTTTGTGTGTTCTCTCCGTGCTCTTGTGGGTTTCCTCCTACTTAATTAATATTTTACTTCAGTTTCCTCCCACAGTCCAAAGACATGCTGGTACTGTAGGTTAACTGGCCTCTGGGAAAACTGGCCCTGATGTGAGTGTGTGTCTGTGTGTGTGCACTGAGATGGACTGGTCTCCAGTTCAACTGACTTGCACCCGTTGATTGCCGGGAAAGGCTCTGGCACCTCTGCGACCAATGATTTGGATAAAGCGGTTAGAAAATGGATGGATGGGTAACACTAAATAAGAGATTTGAGAACATTTGCTGTCAGTCATCTCAAAAATACAGATGGAATCATAAATCTGAATCAGTAGTACTAAAATAATTAGGAAATTTTCAAGAAGCAAAAAAAATAATGATCGTAAAACTCACTTCCAAGAAATGCAAGGCTGTATTTTAAATGTTGAATGAATGGGATTAATTTACCAGAACTCATAAGTAATTTCCATAGGAAATTAAAAATAAAATTCATTGGCAAAATATGACACACAAAGAGGTTCCCTGACTAATTTGCACAGCATTGTGCATGTGGTGCCCCTCCTTTATAAAGTCCATAACAAAGTAAAACAAATTCTGGCAGTAAATTAAAAACAAATCTCTGCAGAATGTTAAAGCATGTGTCTTCTTTTACATAAACGGATTCTTCTCACTCTTCATTTAGCAATGCTTCAGTACAAAAGGGTTCTAATCCTGGTTTGGCATTTCTTTCCAGTTACGTCCCTTATTTATCTTTCTTATTACTGTTTTCAACATAATAAGATGAAGAACCTACTGCAGATTCGGGGTTGCCTTTTTTGTGCAGTGATACATCTTAATCACAGTTAAGTAGGGCAATGTTCTTACTACAGAGTTCAGTCAATGATTTGTGGTTTTCTCTGACTTCTCCAATGATAAATGCCCCTGTTTCAGTGCACCAAATGTCTTGTAAGGTGTCTGAATAAGATTGTACAAAATAAACAATTTTAATTAAATTACAGGAGCTGGAGGGGCCCATATGCTATTTGACAATTGCTTTCTCTCAGGGCCTAAGTTTGGTATCCTGGACACATTCATGTAATATAATTAACTTGCTGTCTAGCACCGTTTTATCAAGCTCACTGAAAATGACTAGAGGTCTGAATGGCTGTGAGGTACTTGGAACAAGATTCAACTGTGCTTAGAGAGCCAGATGATCAAATTTCTACAGGGTATTGAACTGCGTGTCCTTTAAGCTATGAGCAGTAACCTTGAAAGTCTGATGCACAAAACATTCTAGGCCACAACAATTTAGGAAGTAACAGCTTCACGTAACTATAGATAACAGCAGTGCGGATGGATTCTCAACAAGAATTAAAAGAAAACTAAGTTGGAAGGAAAAATAATATTACACTGCAACACTTGCCAGTTATCACACAATCAACTTGAACTTGAACTTTATTGCCATATGTAACCGGTACTGGTACAATGGAATTCTTACTTACAGAAAGTTTCTTGTTTGTAAAACAAGTGTAAAAAACAAAACAAAGTGCAAACAGTGCATCAAGACAATGTACAAACAAACAATAGACAATGTGCAAGTAAAAGTCTTATGAGTTGCCATGCTAATGAAATCGACACTGGTGGAAAAATTTCCCAGTCTTAGCACTGCGCTTATCCCTGTTACTTAGACAATCGTGTATGTAATCATACATGACTCATTAACAAGGTGCTGTCAATATCCAGGGGAAGATGTTTACTGGAGCAACTGAGTGAAACAGCAATTAGAAACGAGTGAAAAAGAGGTTAATACAACAGTTACTGTTTAGTTTGTTCACTCTGTGAGCACCAAGACACTGGATTTCCCCAAAACATGAACTGCTTTTAACATAGAAGCATCAGATTTAACTGCTCAAGAATATGATTTTTGGACTAAAAAAATAAGGTACAGATTCCAAGTGGTTCTGAAGTGGATTATCTGAATGTATTAGTCGACAATTGAGCACAAATTTGCAGTTAAGGACAAAAAGAACCAGAGAGCAATATGGACATTTGCTGATATGGTAACCTGGATGCTAAAGAGTGAAGAATTGACTGAACTGGCACCACTTATTGACATCTGTGCCACTTCCCAAGCATCTAGCACAGACTGTGAAAGTGGATTCAGTTTAATGAAGTGCATCAAGACCTAATTGCAGAACAGCCTCAAGGTCAACCACCTGGACCAGCTCATAAGAATAGTCCACTCAAGAAGCACATGCAGCCATAATCTTGGACAAAATCTACATCCTAAAAGTGACAAGGACAGATGGGAGAAGTTAAGAGTTGCATTGCTGATTAAAATGCCAACAGTTATTTTTTATTACTTATTATTTTATACAATAACTGTTGTGGTCTAAAAGGACCTTAAGCTTGTATAAACACTTTTGCATGCTGTAATTAATTGTTTCAAGGTTTGTTGTCTTTTTGGGTCTCCAATGTTGCAAAATTACTTTCACCAAGTGATCTGCTGACTGATCAGTGATGAGTTATAGGGCCAGGACCCAATTTCAATACCAATTAAAAAGTTATTTTTAATACCAATTCAATATCCATTGGTATAGAAAATAACTTTCAAGAGTATGTACAATAATTTAATAACATTTGTTAGAAAAAAATATTAGAGAGAGAGAAACTTCAAAACTTACAAAGAATTTTAAACATATCCACCGACTGCAGAGATACCTCACTATTAAATATGTAAAAGAACAGGATCACGTGCACAAGCATACATTATATACAATTGCAATCTATGTCTTAAAATAAATTGTTTTTCTATGATTGGGAAATTCGATCTGGTTGTTGAGAAAATATTGATTTATAATGTAAAAAGGTGGTGTGACATGTATTTAGGAAGCTAGTGAAATATACAGTAACTAAAATACATTATATAGAAACCTTCAAACTACAACTGTGGACATTATTTTCTAATGAAACAATATTGAAATTGTGTAAGAATTCTAATTAACAGTAAATGTTTATGTAGACACTAAAATAAACAACCGTGTGAAAAGAAGCGTTCCATTGGTATATATAGAAAGGCCATATTAGATTTCCTGAATTTGTTTTTCATAGCCTATTACAGCATTTGCAAAAAGCTGTAAATTTTGTTATCAACGACATTTAAACTCTGTGACAGAATTCATAGGAAAAATTTGAATTGTATATTGTCTTCCCTTACACCTTCATGCCTACTTTCCACACATATAAAAGCCTAGTCAAGTAGGGAGAAACCTAATTTCCAGAATGAATTTCATTACTATCAAAGTCTTAGCTCATTAGGCACTTCATTTTCATTTTTAATCTCACTCTTTAAAAGTCCATGCCTAACATGTTTTTTTTTCCAGTCCTTAAGTTTCAGTTTTTTATCTTGGTAAATAGAAATCGGGAAAAAGCCATAAACTGAACACTCTGTTGTCACCTAACAGTAAAATCTGCACAGGTAAAGCTCAACAATAAGGCAATCAAATAAAAGTCTAATGCCACTGCATTGTCCAATGCACTCATACGGGGGTACGAAAATATGGTCACATATTGTATCTTCAGAGTTGAAAAGCCTAACAAACTGAAGATACATAAGCCACTGTATTTCCTCAGACTTGAGAAACCAATAGTATCTAAAGTGAAAGAGAGTGGAGGTATTGGGGATGGCAACACAATTTCCCTTACAATGAATAAACCTTTCAACTGACACAGGTCTGTGATAAATCTAACTTTACCTTGGAGATGAGGGCTGTGTGGATTTTTTTCAAGATGTCATCCATTTCAAGGAGTTTTGGCCCAATCAAGGAGCTGTGAGGCCCACTCAGGTGACCAATGTGGTCTAGACCGAGGTAGTGCAGGATCAAGACGTCCCAGTCATCTCTCTTCAGAGTACTGTCCAGGTGTCTCGTTACATTGTTATCCACCTGAAAAAATAAGCAGAGAAATACACAATTTTTTCACTAAGAAAACATATTTTAATTGATTATTTCTGTATCTTTCATTGCTAAATTCAGTTTATTTTGCCCATGAAGTGTGATTGCTACATCGGTTTGTTTAATCCAGAAGAAATTAATTTAGCTCCCACATACACTACAATTTGTACATGGCAGCACATCAAATGAACTGCGCAGAGAATAAACAACATAAGCTGGATCCTGTGTATGAAGAGACATTTGCCATTGCATTTTTGGCAAATGTTCTAGATTGGGCTCTTTTTGATCAGTTACAATCATTTGCAAATCTTTAGGAGCCTTTTAGGTCTCAGTTCAGATCAAGGTATAGCTCTTTTATGTTTACTTACAATTCTGCTTATGACTACTGACTCTGGTTTGGTCAGGTATTACTAGAGAGGTTTAATCTTAATCGTATTGGTAGAAACTTTGTTTAGTTAGTGTTTGTTACTCAAGTAGAACGTTGGCTGCATCTAGCATTCCAATAAGGCTCTGTATTTACTGTTAGCCATTTCATTTTTGACTTAAGTCTTTGTAATCTATTCACAACATAAAACCTGTTTACTAACATAAGAAAGTTTGAATCACAGACCTGTCACTTTACTTGAAAATTAAATAAAATACATTTCCATATCACTTTTAAGGAGCTTTAAAAATGGCATTTCATAAGTATAGCACTGTATGTACCATTTGCTGCCTCACAGCACTAGGGCCCTGGGTTCAATTCCTGGGGTGCTATCTGTGTGGCATTTGTATATTCTGCTGTCCTGAGGTATGTCCTGAGGTATGAGTGTGTACATGTCTGCTAATGACTCTTGTTTGCAATGTGAAGTACTGGTTTCCTGCTCAGAAAGTACCCCATATTTTGCCCTTTGTTTGATGGGACAGGCTCCAGCACCCCCACAGTTCCTAAACTGTGTGATGAAGTAGTTAGAAAATATACGGATGTATATACCATTGTTTATGACAGATTGCAATAGATACAGGTGAAAATCCTAACACTACTGTATATCTTCCTCACTCTGAATTCTAGATGTTTTATAATCTTTACATTCACAAACACATACAGTATCTTACCTCTGTGTAATCAGACACAAAGAATGAAGTTGTTCCATCATATTCCATGAAGTGCTTTGGGAAAAGTCGAATCCAAGTATCATCTCCGTAGAATACCACCTTCTTCCCTGCTGTTTTGGCCTGCCAGATGAGGTTATCCTCTTGAAGAGCCGGAGAGTTGAGATTCATGACTACATCAATAAAGCCCGGTATACTGCCGGTTGTCAGTGCCTGGAAAACAATGTGTTAAAAAAACTCAGGTATGGAAAAAAATGAAATTCCAAAGGTTTCATTTTCATTTAAATTGGTCTTAAGTGTATTGGTTAGGAAATATTTTACGCTAGCAAGATAGGCTGGCTATTATGTTTTTATTGGATAAAAGGGATCTTCATGACTGTCTGGTAGCAGCAACATGCTGGTTGTTTCCATGGTCTTCACAGTGGAAACCCTAATAGTAAATTTAACATCCCTGTTTGGGAAAATGTGATATAACTTTAAACACTCTTTAAGTAAGGTTCTTACAAGCCCTGTATATTCAGCTGGCTGAATAAAAAGGAGAATTCCTTCCAAAAATGTATAAACAGTTTGACATGTTTGCTCTAAGAACACCAGAAGGAAGCAAAAAACATTTCATAAACTACAACTATACAGATTATTGTTTTCTGAGAAAACATTATTTGATGCAACTGAAACTTTACAATTTGGGTTTGGTTGAAATTTAAAGTCCTTACTTTCCCTGGAATATGGAATGCATATTAAATGGAAGAGATTGCCAAATTGAATTAGGCCTTTGATTTCTAGTTATTCCATAAATAATGGCTAACAAAAACTAATTTAATTTCAAAATGTGACATGCAAACATCTGAAAATTACATATTTTGAAAAAGGGGACATACTAGGTAAATGAAGGCATCAAATGCTACAGAAAAAAAACATACCATTTGCTCATGAAGAGGGCAAGACGCTACCCTTGAAAAAAATCCCTGTGCTTTGTACAAGCAGAGAATGTCAAATTGCTAACATTGTGCGACTGGGCTCAATAGATCTGGCTCCACTCAATTCCCGTGTCACTTTTTAGCAGACGGGATGTTGGTTCATAGTCGCAAAGGGTTTAACACTAATATGTTAACTAACAATACTTTTTATTTAAAAAACCTAAATGAATGTCAAAACACAGCAAGCTACAGTGCTCTTCATTAACTTTATAGATGCTGTGCATGCCGTTCTTTAATGTTTATTAATTATATGCCTTATGTAGTTTTTTATATCCTGAAGCAAAAATAAAGCAAATGTCAAATTTGTGTTAAGTACATTGTGATAGTGGGCTTTTATTCTCTGAGAAATGCCAAAAGAGCCCACAAGCTTGTGTGAGTCAGAGCTTCCTACCTTACAAAAGTCTTCTCAGAAAATTCAAGCTCAAGACACACAGCACAAAACTATACTTAATAGCCAGAAAGAAACAAAATTATCTTAATTAGAAGTTGTAGAATTCATGCATTACTCTTTTGGCTTACTAAAATATGTTCAAGGCCAGAAATCTAAAAGCAGGGACTGTAGAAGCCTTAACTGAAGCAATTCTGTCTCTTGCTGATATAATTGTCTGAGAAGAAAAGCTGAAATGAAACACCACACAACAAAATAAGTTAATGTCTCAAACATACATCAGTACCAAAATGCATTATTCAGAGGGGCTGGAATGAAAAGAGCAAAAAGGCTTAAAACTAACTAACCCATTTTTGATGTGTTTGGATTTATTAGAAGACAAGGGGTCATTTTCATAAAAATGACTAATCCCAAAATATAGGTTTCAAGTCCTTTCAACAAAGTTTGTCAAAACTTGACTCATTAACACTGTTTCCTAAAATAATTTTCTGTCGGTCTTAATTTAGGCAAGTATTTGTGTCTTGGCAAGATTCACATTATTCATATCACTATTAAGTACTCACTAAAAATCCACTTACAGCTTGAGGTTTTTACAATTCAGAGAGAGTAAAATATATTAAAAGTGCTAAAGAGGATGCTAGAGTGCCTACTTTTAAAAGTGTAAATATTAAGCATGTATGAGATATGTTTTGACTTTTATTTTAGAGATTAAATATGATATAAAAAGGAAAGCTTACAGGGCTGATGTACTGAATCAAGTGCTTTGCAAAAGTATTCAGACCTAGCTGTATTCACATTGTTGCTTTAAATCTTGCAGTCATGACAATTTGAAGTAAAAGACATACTGATTACATAGAAACAAGTAATAGGTTTATTCCATGCTGAAAAAAAGAAGAAAGAGAACTCAACGTTTCGGCCGTGGAGCCTTCTTCGGGTGTGAGAGAGACAGGGCAGTAGGCAAAGGTAAAGTAGCGGGAGAACAAAGGTTGGGAGGGAGGAGTAGTGAGAGGCGGGAGCAGGGGACAGAAAGAGAGGCCAATCAAGAGGTGTGAAGTCAGTATGGGTGCAGAGAGGTGTGAAATGAAACTTCCAATGAATGGAGTAAATTTAAAACAACAGTAGTCTGTCGTTAAGAGAAGGGAGAATGTGTGATCCTAGCTGCAGGATAATTTTGGTTTCGGTGGTCTTTCTGATGTATGAGTTCGGAAAACCGTCTTTGAGAACACAGACGGAGAGATTAGAGTGGCCGTCAAGTAGTAGAATCTTCAGGGCTGTGTTTCTCATTTCACCTCTGACGGCCACAACCACTCTAATCTCTCCGTCTGTGTTCTCAAAGACGGTTTTCCGAACTCATACATCAGAAAGACCACCGAAACCAAAATTATCCTGGAGGATGGCCTGCTTCAGACTGCTAATAACCAATAACTGGGATGAAAATCAAACTTTCAGCAAGAGAATAACTCAAAACACATGACCAAAGCTACATTGGAGTAGCTTAAAATAACATTATTGCTTCCTTCTGCCAAACACTAACCACTAGAAACTGTATTCTGTATATACTGTACTATACTTTTGTATTTATTATGCTGAAAACAATGGCATTTTAAAACACGGACATCATATTAAAATATAAAAATTAATATATAATACACTTGTTGATGTCTAAGACAAAAGCTTTAAACTTTGCTGCCAATGATGGTTTCTTTTCTTCAGGTAACATTTTATTCAAGAACAGTAAGATACACATTAGCTCAAACTGGTCTCTCTGGGCACCTAGGTTCTCAGAAAGGTTTGCTTCATTCTTCTTCATTCTTCTTATTTCCTCTCCTCAGCAAAGGTCCTTTTGAGACTTTGAGATTTTGTACAAATGCACATTTTTCTAATCGTGAAAAACCATAGCACTTGCAGCAATGTTGTTTACAAGATGTAGTTTCCTATTAGATTGTCACCTTTCACACAGAGAAGTTAGTTTGCCAATAACAGTTTCTTGAATCCAGCTTACCAGTTCTTATGCACAGAACTGGGCTACAGCTGGTTGATGAAATAGCCTTCCCAGGAGCCACTGTGGTCACCATACTGTATATTTAAAACTCTACAATGGTATCACCACTTAGACCTTCAACCTTGAGCTGTTACGACACATTCTGATGGGTTGCCTGACACTGACATTGCCACCAATTGACACTGTACCATGCCAGTATTATGAAATTAGATATCCTGTCATTCTTATATAAAACATTAATTTATAAATAATAATTTGCATTGTATACCCATTTATTCCCCGAATAACAAAATATTAGAAAATATCTATTATGTAATGTTTCTTTTTATTTATGCTAAGTGTGGTATTATGCGGGGCCAGTTCCCAGTGGGGAAGCAGAGCCCTGGTAGAAGGGCGACGCCTCAGCTTTATAGTCACAGCTGGGCAAGTCCTATAAAGACACAAGGGGAAGGGGAAGTTTACACTGACAGTCCCAGAGGTGAAAAAGGTTTTCTTTTTCTTTTCTTTTCCTTCTTTTCGCATGACCCGCTGTGCAGTACCACTGGGGCAGGCTGCTATTTTTTCACACGTTTTTATTTTATTTTTGGCCTTATACACCTGTTAAATCGTGTCAGTCCAATCTGGTCAACGCTGTGCTAACTGTTCTTTTTTTCCCCAGGCTTGACCCCACTAAACAGGGTAAGCCCAACCTGGAAGTAAAGAGGCACAGCGGTACATCTTTCATTTTTGTCTTTTTCTTTATTTTTTCACCTCTTTTTTGTGTTTTTATGCATGTATGATGTATTCGCATTGAAAACTTATCATCAATAAAACATATGGTCATTCTTACATGTTCTATATTGGACAGAATTCGCTCTCCAATCCATTATCATTAATCCTCTCATCAAGGTAAGGGTATAATCAAATAGGACCCTTTCTCAGAATCATATTACAGAGCTTTTCAAGTTGAGTTGCCATCCTGTATTCAAGAATAGTAAAATATAGTGCACTGCATTTTTGCAAAAGATACAGTGCAAAGGTTTCTGTACACTGCCAATTTATCTGAGAGGAGAGAATATGGATCTATTTGATTTAAGTTTTGTATGTTTAAAAAAAAGCCTAAAGAAATTCACACAGATTCTTAGAAAAACCTGCTCTGGTTTTTAACCATGAAGCCTTTGAAGTCAGAGGCTGGAGGTATAAGAAACCCTCCTGGGTCTGCTTTGTACTGTATCTTCTGAGCTGCTGCAACCGTGGGGACGTTCAAAACTTCAAAAGAAAGCAATTGATTAGTTGATTCCAAAACGTCCTATCCCACACAACAAAGGAACTGATACAATCGAGTCAGAAGAGGCATTCAAAGAGCTTCTAAAGATCATTACTGGCAACAGAAGAGAAAAACTTGACCTTTTAACTGTGTAAAGAATAATTGAGACATGTTTTCAAGACACTGCTAGTGCTAAACAATACAATACTTGAGCTCTGTGCTTTCTCGGCCACCTATTGTTACAAGAGGTTTGCAGTACACACTGACTGAGTATTGTCAAGAGAGACAATATTGTAGATGATGAAGATATCATCTCAATGACTACCTAAAAGCATAAATATCATTAACCTAGCTACAACTATATTGCTCAGTGTAACACAAGAAATTCTATTAACTTTCAGCTCCATCATTTTCAAATTAAATTGTTTTAAATACTGGTGTTCCCCAAGGCTGTGATTCACCTGAGTCATTAATAGCCTCTGCTATTTCCAACCTATACAATTGAAATGAAAACACAAGGACCTTAGTCCTAGTAGGACTGTTTACTGAGGATGATAGAGAAGGCGTGGAGAACTAGTTTGAACAAAAATAAGTAAACTG